AGCTTTATTGTTGAATATATCATTCTGATGTGCTTTAACTTTGTGGAAGGTAATTTTAAGATTATAGGATTTAATAAAGTTAAGAAGTGTATTCCATATAGACCAGTATGGAGTGTTTGAAGGCTTGACATTGATTGTTTGCTGGGTTAGGCTATTGTACTTAGAGATTAATTAAAAATTATTATTAAAGATCTTATAAACTTTAATATTGAATAACTTGTGAACTAGCAATCCGTTTTAGATGATTTTACTACCAAAATGCTCATCTTAGTAAGACGATTATAATGAACTTAAAATAGTTAAATTCTGATCACGGGATTCCAAGATCGTTAATTTTTTTTTTAATTTGGCAATCCTGCCTTTATTGTATTAGGAGTGCGTAATCTAAATATATGGTTTCCGAACAAAAAGCCTGCAATAAACTCAATGCCTTTTACCTCCTACTCTTCAATAAAGACTCACTTGGCTGCTCATAATGGTGCCCAAATGCAATCTGCCGCATCAATAATTCATTCATCTCCGGCATCTAACTTGCTAAATGACTCCCTGAAAAAATCACTAAAAGCTTATTGCTAGCTTTGTCAAGATTACCTTTTTCTTAACATTTTTCCTTCTTCAAAGGAGTATAGAACAAATGAGGGTAAAAAACAAAAAAACACAGATAAAACGAAAATGACAAAAACAAAAAGAAAAAGAAAAAACAAAAAAGAATATATAAAAAGAAAACAAATATGAAAGGGAATATAAAAGAAAAAATTATAAAGAAAAGAAAACAAAAAGAATTTTGTCTTTTTTGGCACTACTATAATCCATACCAGGCTGAAAAAATTATATAACAAATATGGTATTTGTATATCTCTATTGTAAAGTTTCGCCTTATCAAGTAAATTTTTTGACTAGGTTATCCAGACTCCTAAATGACGTAAGTGGCCAACCTTGGTATTACGTGAAGCAGCACGGTCCATAAACAAAACAAACCAGACACGTGATCATAGTTTGCCGGAACTGTCCAGATTTGGGAGGAGTAAACAATGCCAATCTTTTGAAGAGGATAAATCATTTTGCCCACTTTTGCAGAAAATTTTGGAAGAGCAACGAGGAGGTGGAAAAAAGAGACAAAACCACTTTGTTTTGTTTAGAAAAGGAGTGTGTATTTTCTTTACTCAATATACTGAATCCATAGGAAGGTGCAGATACTCTCCTTATTTTTTCAGGTAAGTGATAAACTCTGGGCTTGTCAGCAAATAGCGTATGAGAACTATTTCTAAATAACAAGTGCCCGGCCCCCACAATAAGTAATAAACTCTGAGGAAGTTAGCAGGTAGCATATGAGAACTATCTCTAAATAACAACTGCCGAGTTACGGAGCTTAAAGACTTCTTCTTTGTCTGTTTCAACCTTTATAGACGCTAGTTTTTTAAGAATTTTGGATTTTTTTTTGTGGTAAAAATGATCATCAGGAAAAGTTGACTAGAATCTTGAATATGTAAGATCGTTATAGATTTGTATTATTTTCAATTAATTTAATATATTTTATATTAAAATAATACAAATCTATAACAATCTTGGAATCCCGTAATCAGAATTTAACGATTTTAGGTTTATTAGAATCGTCTCACTGAGACAAGCATTTTGGTAATAAAATCATCTAAAACGGATCACTAGTTCACAAGTTATTCAACGTTAAAGTTTATAAATAATTTTAATATATACAAAACTAATATAATTAAAGCAATATAAATTTATAACGATCTTGAAATTCAGTGATTGGATTTTGATGATTTTAGGCCATTAGAATCGTCTTATTGAGACAAACATTTTGGTAGTAAAATTATCCAAAATGAATTATTGGTTTAAATTTTATTCAATATTAAAGTTTAAAATTTTTAAATTTTTAAAAAATTTTAAAAAATTTTAGCCAATCAAAAGTTATCTACTATTAGGACCTGATAATTTTCTGACCCCCCCTACCCTAAAAAATCAGGTGATAAATGGCACTCCCCTTACTTATCAAATCTGAATGGACCAGTAAATAGCAACCACGTGTTTGAAGACAAATACATTGCATGGGTCCTGAAATAAGTTCTGATTAAAAAAGGAATTCCTGGTAGCAGCATCAAGTGGCTTGAAACACAAGTACCCAAGTGATAGCACCTTTACAAAAATATCGCAATCTTTGTCGTCGTTGGCACCGTATATGGAGAGTCAGATCCTAGTATAGTGGCAGTACTTGATTTAAAATACAGACTAGATTATTAAAAGATTCAGAAATGGGTCAGAGGAAATTTTAATGTTAAGTTTAGTCTTACAACAGAGATATACAGATATTGCATCTGGTATATAATTTTTAAATCACCTGGTATAGGTTATAATAGTGTATTGGATCGTTTAATTTTTTCTTTTTTCTGTTTGTTTCATCTATTTTTATTTATATTAGAATTGGTTTAGATTCTTTGATCCTTTTCTTCTTGTTGTTTTATTTTTTCTTTTGAGTTCTGTTTTCTTTTTTAGAACAATTTCTATTTTTTTTGGTTATGAGGAAGCTTTTAGAGATTTTCTTTAAATATATCTTCTTTCATAATGTTGGCATATATGTTAGTTTTATGTAGAAGTAAGAGATAATGTGTATAATCTGCTAAGGTTTAAGTGGATTAAGTTTGGGAAGATATTACCAAAATTTAAGGTGGGATAAACTTGAAAGAAAGGATAGGCTCTTAAAAGTAGTCTTTTTTTTGTAAAATAGTATATATGTTTGCACTATACAAAAGTAGGAGAAAATATATTCTGCCCAAGTATTGGTGAAATAAGTCTAGAAGGAAGGTAAAATGTAATCAGTTTGAATATAGGTAGCTGAGTACTAAGCTATAGCAGATTTTTAAATACAGGTATCACCGTATGTGGAGCTTGTTGGCAATATTAGTGTAATAATCATACTTGGGCACTTTTATAGCAGCCAGGTATTTGCCTAATCCATAAATTAGATAGTTAATTTGTAAATTGCTAAAATTCTAATAAATTAGTGTGAGATTATCAAAGAAAAAAAAAAAAAAAGCAAACAAACAAATAAATAAGTATATATTTATTTTTCAATTTCTTTTACATCTACACACATTAATGAACCTATTTTCTTAAAGTTTGCATATAATGATTTAGAGTATCTTCTTTGATAATGAATTATTATATCTTTTTTAAAATAGCTTTTAAGTAACATATTTGTTTTCATAGAATAGCTATTATGCTTATAATCCGGCCAAGTACAGTATCTGTTACATTGTTAATATGAATATTATTTTTTTATTATTTTTTTATTATTTTTTATTTTTTAATACTTGTCAACCCAATCACCAAACCAGTGCATTCTAAAATAAGATGTGATGGTTTCTGCAATAGCTAAATTTTTAATTCCAATAGCAGACTAAAATTCCTTAGCATCTAAAATAGTAATCTTTTATTGATTAAATTCATCTTGGTCTCTAGATCACTTAACAAACCGAAATTGATAAAAAGTTCGATCTCGAATCCATTGATTATTTAGATTTTTTGTAAACCATTCCTTGAGTACATCTGCTAGAAAAATAGCAATAATTTAAAAATAAAAAAATAATATAAATATCCATATAATGCTGCCTATAGTACCCAACATAACATAATTTTTATATAGTGAAAGGTTAAAGATCATATGATAGTATAAATAGTATTTTAAAAGTTGATTGACATACAAGGATTATAGACAGTGCTATGGATAATAAGAATAATTTAAAAAACTCATTCTCATGCTAGTCACACAAGACTATCTGCGTATTAGGAAAATATTTTTTAGTTGCTGCCAGATAAGGGTCCTATTTATCTATTGCTAACCATTTAAAGTTTAGTTGAACATCATTTTTAATGCTATATTGAATTAGCTTTAACTAGTTGATGTTAGAAATTATTACAATTAAACAACATTTGAATAAAATAGTAATAATGCAAAAATTTGGTAGTTTTGTGATTTCAAATACGAAAAAAATAAAGGCAAAAAAAAAAAAAATCAGAAATCGCAAAAAATATATATAAATTTGTAGTCTCTACTTTGTATTAATGCAAACATTAATTAAATTAGTCATAGAACTACCAAATTTTTGCACCATCACTATTTCACTCCAAAATTTAGCATTTTTGATTTAATATAAACTAACTATAAATCTACCGACTTGAACATCAGATTGATGACTGGTATCGTTTCCTTGTCACTTATAAATATTGCTATAATTTGGCCACAAAATTCATCTGATCTAATCATAAAGGCTGTGTTTAAAAAATTTAGACTATTATAATGACCAGTAGAGTCTATAGCTAAAAAATCTAAATATTTTGTTAATAATGTTGGCATAATTGTAGATGTGATACCAAAAACCATAGCTTGTTCTTTGGGGTCGTGAGCATCTTTAACACTATCTTGCTTTAATATAACAGTGCTTTCAGACTCATGAGTATCCATTATTAAGCAAATCTGTTGGTAAATAAAATTTAGTAGAAAAAAAATAACTTTCTACAAAAATTAGTTTCTTAAGGAGCTGACAATTATCAGGTGATTTTCTAGAGAGGGGTTAAAAAAATTGAAATTTTATATATAAGACTTGATAATTTATATATTAAAAATTAGGGCCTCTGATAAAAAAAATCAGGTGATAAATGACACTGTCCTTACTTTTTCATATTCTGATACACTTGGATAATGCTGTTTTTTATCATATTTTAGAGTAACTGAATTGCCTCGAGGTTAAAAACAAACCTTGTCGATATTGGTTGTGCTTGGTTTTTTAGTGTAGTAGCTGTTGTACTTAAAATTTTTGTGCTATTCATTAATTCTAAAAAAAAAAAAAAAACTACTTAGCTAATAAATTTGATCTTTTTTTTTTTTTTATATATAAACTTGCTCTATAATCTATTGCTAATATTAAAGAAGTTACATTTGCAGCTCTATTTGTTATTGTTTTTCTAACTGAATTTGCTATCCAGAGTGGTTTTTTCTGAACATAGTCTGGATCATGACTTTCATAGTATTCAACATTATATAGATTAAGTGGTTTGTCTTGAGGAACTACAATATGACCTTTCTAGTTGTATTTGCCTTGGTGGTATCTATTCTTTTAAAAAACATAATTAATACTTCACAAATTTTCATGAAAATTAATACATTAAAAATAAACATTTATATACCCACATAGAACATCCAAGATATTTGGTATATGCAAACATCGAATTAGATACAGTATCTCAAGAACTACGACAGATCCAGGATGTAGGTGAGATTTTCCGGGTCCGGCCTCCGATCACTCCTCCGATCAATATCGGGGCAAATCCCCCTAGTTACACAGTTACACAGATCAAACTAT